TGGCCGTACTGAAGTATGCTGCTCACACATCATCTAGACCTAGGCAGAGCTTCAGCTCACCAGGCTGGCACAGAGCTGGCTTTCCAACACTATTTGAACTAGATTACATTTTTTTTTCTGATTGGCAAAGTCAGAAAGTTTTGTAACTTGCTGTGTTAGCAAGGCACACGTGCTGCTGGTGAGCGCACAGAGCAGAGCCACCTCAGTGGGGGGCAAGTGGTGGTGTCTATTGAAGTTAAACACCCACACGTCACTGGACTCAGCAAATTCCACACGAGCAAGAGTTAGCACCTAGGGAGCATTTGCACGTACTAGGTGCTGTTTCCAACACCAGACAGACAGGAATTCATTTAGACCTCAAAAGACCCTCTGGAGTAGAGGCTATCATCATCCTTGGTTTATAAATGAGAAAGGTGAAGCAAAGAGACATTAAATTATTTGTCCAAGATTATCAAGCCAGTAAGAACTTAGGTGTCCGGTTCAGGGGTGAGCTTGCTTAACTGCTATACTACATTATATCCTCGTATGGTGCTAACCATTAAGATATTACCTATAATAGAGAAATACAAAAACACTAAATGTCCATCATAAGGAAATGGTTCAATATAATATGGTTTTTCTGTATAAGGGGAGAACTAGACATTTTTTTTTTAATGAAGCTGACAGGGAAGTATACTGATATATTGCAATCTCTAAGCTATGCAATTTAAGTCAAGAAAAGCAGAATTGGCTAGGCACAGTGGCTCATATCAATAATCCCAGTACTTTGGGAGGTCGAGGTGGGTGGATGGCTTGAGCCCAGGAGTTTGAGACCAGCCTGGAGAGCATGATGAAGCTCCGTCTCTACAAAAAATACAAAAATTAGCTGGCGTGTTGGTGGGCACCTGTAGTCCCAGCCACTCAATGAGGCAGGGAAGATTGCTTGAGCCCAAGACGTAGAGGATTGCAGTGAGCCAAGATTGCAGTGAGCTGAGGATTGCAATGAGACACAAAAGTTAGCCAGGCATAGTGGTGGGTGCCTATAGTCCTAGCTGCTCAGGAGGCTGAGGCAGATTGCATGAGCCCAGGACACTGAGGATTGCAGTGAGCCAGGACTACACTCCAACCTAGGTGACAGAACAAGACCCAGTCTCAGAAAAATAAAACAAAAGTAGAATTCATGAGAGTATGCTATCATTTATAGAAAAAAATCCATAATTATGCCTGTATATACAGTATACCTCTGAAAGGATATATAAGAAGAGAGAAAATAAAACATAAGTGGTTTCCCTGGGATAGGGAACTCAGTGGGAAAAAGGAAGATACTTTCCATTGTGTACCTTTATATACCATTCAAATTCTGTACCATATATGTGGATTGCTTATTTGAAAAGAGGTCTTAATTTGAAAGAACCAACAATACCTGCAAAATGCCTAACAGAAAACAGCACCAGATGTTGAAGCTATTATTAAGTGTCCACATTGTTTTCCAGCTATTGTTTATGCACACTTCTCCCTCCAGCATCCAGCTGAGAGGCTGGCACATCCCAGGTATTGCACACAGGACTGCAGAATGAATGAATAATGTGCACATTGAGTGGAATCAAATGAAACGTATTTGTCGAGGTTCCTGCTGCAACTCTATAGAGGAGGCATCTGCACTTCCTTCTAGAAACTGAGCTCATTCACTATTCATGACAGCAAAAACATGAAATCAACCCAAATGTTCATCAATAATAGACTGAATAAAGAAAATGTGGTACATATACACCACAGAATACTATGCAGCCATAAAAAGGAAGAAGATCATGTTATTTGCAGGGACATTGATGAAGCGGGAAGCCATTATCCTCAGCAAACTAATGCAGCAACAGAAAACCAAACACCGTATGTTCTCACTTATAAGCGGGAGCTGAACAATGAGAACACATAGATTCAGGGAGGCGAACAACATTTACTGGGGCCTGTCGGGAGAGGGCGGTGGGTTGGGGAGAACATTAGGGATGAGAGCTAATACAAGCTGGGCTTAATATCTAGGTGAGGGTTGACAGGTGCAGCAAACCACCATGGCACATGTTTACCGATGTAACAAATCTGCATATCCTGCACATGTACCCTGGATCTTAAAAGAAAAGAAAGCGAGCTCATTGAAAGACATTCTAGATTAAGAAGGCTGAGGAGTTTCCTGGTGGACCAACCCATGGTTCCCAACAGGCACTATTCTGGACTTCTCCAGGACTTACTTTTTAGCTACAGAGGTAGTTCTCAACTGGGGATAATTTTGCCCCAGGAGACATTTTTGGGTGGAGGGGTACTACTAGCATGTAGCGGGTAAAGCCCAGGAAAGCTGCTAAACATCCTGCTGCACACAACACAGCTCCCCCGAACCCACCAAAACAAAGAATTACATAACCCCAAAGTCACGTGCTGAAGCTGAGCTGTGGTGTTAGCACTGGCTCACCAACATCGTGACCATGACTGGTAGACTTGAGTCATCAGCCCTGGGACACACCTAGAGCTTCTACGTGTTTATGTTCCCTCCTAAAATACAGCCTGCTGTACAATCCTCCTGAACTGTATTTTTTATTCAGTCTCCAGCTTACCAACCTTATTTCAGATTTAATCTCATCAAGAAGGATACCAGCCAACTGCGGTCCATCTCCCTGCCATGGTCACTTTGAGGAGCTGAAAAATACTTGAATATCTCAAGACAACCTTTCTGGGAAGCCCACAGGGTGCTAGAAAGGTTCAGCTGTCCCTGGGGCCAAAAGTTCTCTGGAATGCTAGCTCATGAGACAGGTTCTTGAGAAATTAAGGGAGAATAAAAATATCTGCACATTCTCAGGCAGAAATCTTCCAAAAGGAGGAGGACAGCCTCAGATCAGGAAGGGGCAAGCCCTGTGGATGAGGGTGCCTCTGCTCCTTTGGGCTTCTCCTCCCAGCTTACACAGGGGCAACAGGGCTGCTAAAGGACTCTCCCCTAATTTGGGTGTCAGAGGAGGAAGGAGGGGACCCAGGGAGTCCCGGTTGCTCCCCTTAACCCAGTGACAGTTGAGGCCTGTTTTATCTGGAAGCCATTCTGTTCATGTGCTGCCCTCATGGTGAGAGGAGGGGATCAGGGCTAGTGGTTCCGTCCTATCTTGGCTATTTACCTGCCTGTGACTGCAGGGAAGTCATCTGCTCTCATATTCTGTTCTCTCTTCTGTAAAATGTGTGCCTTACAGGATTGTTGCAGAATTCCTATGAAGCTGAGCATGTTGGCTCATGCCTGGAATTCCAGCACTTTGGGAGGCCGAGACGGGAGGATCACCTGAAGTCAGGAGTTCAAGACTAGCCTGGCCAATATCATGAAACAGCATCTCTACTAAAAATACAAAAATTATCCTGGCATGGTGGTGTGCACATGAGGTCCCAGCTACTCGGGAAACTGAGGTAGGAGGATCACTTGAGCCCAGGAGGTTGAGGCTGCAGTGAGCCGTGATTGCACCACTGTACAGCAGCCTGGGCAATAGAGCAAGACCCCATCTCAAAAACACAAAAACTCCAAAGAAGTTAAAGATGTGAACAGTGCTCTACGACTGACCAGTTCACATACAAAGGCTAATTATTATTGAAATCCATAGTCACTAGATTTTGGCTCATTTTTACCCTGGTGAATATGTGGTTGAATATAGGTTATTCCACTGGAGTATGCCATGAGGGCTGTTGGCAGGACTAGGGCCTGAGCCCTGGAAGGTGAATGTCATGGGAGAGAAACTGCAGTTCCTGAGGACACTTGTGTACACAGAAATGGGTAAACAAGAGACTGGTGAGATGGATGTGGTAAGATTCATACTCACCCATGTAGTGTTTCCTCACCTGGAGTTTGAAATACCCTGAAAATTGCAGGCAGCAATCAAATAAGTGAAATTGAAGGCTGTGGGTTTTTTATGGCTCTCTTGCTGCCGAAACAGGAATTAAGAGGGTTATTCAAGCCAGGGTACTCAAGTGCCCACTTCAGAGGGATTATTTATATTCCTGACATGGTGCCACAAATGTTCACTGAGTGCCTATCTTGTGGGTTAGACTGTGTCCCTAAGAGGATATGCTGAAGTCTTAAGCCCCACTACCTATGAATGTGACCTTATTTGGAAATCGATCTTTGGAGATGCAATTAGTTACGATGAGGTCATACTACAGCAGCAGAGTGGGCCCTAAATCCAGTGACTGGTGTCTTTATAAGAAGGCTATGTGAAGACACAAAGACTCAGACAACAGGGAAAGAGGCCACGTGATGACAGAGGCAGAGATCGGAGTGAAAATGCATCTACAAGGAAGACTTGGCCAAGGAACGCGAGGATTGCCCAGCAACCACCAGAGGCGAGGGGAGAGGCACAGACCAGGTTCTCCCCTGCAGCCTCCAAAATAAACCAACCCTCCCAACACCTTGATTTCAGACTTCTAGCCTCCACAACTGTGACTGAGTAAATTTCCATGGCTGAAGCCACCAAGTATGTGGTAATTCATTATGGCAGTCCTAGAGAACAATGCAACCCACCGTGAGCCGGACAGGGAGACAAACAGGAACCAGTTTCTATCCTCAAGCAGCGTCCCTGAAAGGGCAGCTTCACGGACAAGGGCTGTTGTGAGAGCAAATGAGATCACGGCTGTGGAGGGGGACAGCTGGGGAAAGAGGGGCTTTTATGACTACTGCTGAGGTTAGTGCTGGGCAGACTCAAAGGCCCTGCTCTAGTTGAGTGCGTCCTTTATCCGCCAGGCAGGCTGCTCTCAGAGAGAGAGTGGAGACTTATCTGACAGGCTTATTCTTTTTCAAACCACACAATAATTAGTCAGAACTCTGTTTCCTTCGTGGTTTCTGTGAATGGATTTTTGTGGTGATTTTTTTTTCCCAGGCATTTTGGCAGTGCCGAGGGGAGATGTAAAAAAGCCTATTAACATCAGCATGTGTCACTGGGGACACTGAGAGGCTCAGACACAGAAGAGAAAGATCTTTAATTAAAGCTGACAAAGCTGGATGTTACCTGGTTCTCCAGAATGCTGCAGCGCTGGCAGCCTAATTCCTGGGGCCTTTCCTCAGCTCTTGTGGGGCGTGCCTTATTTTGTTGGATAAATTCTTCCAGCCTTAAAATCTAAAACATGAGACAAGAAACACCATGCAATGAAACCAAGTTCTACCTCCTTGATACAGTCATTCCTCTGGGAATCAATTCTCCTGGGTCAGTCAGTCAATTTGCCCCATTAGACAAATTCTACACACACTTCTAGAAATTCCATTTCTTTTTTCTTTCTTTCTTCCTTTTTCTTTTTCAGCTGGAGTTTTGCTCTGTCATCAGGCTGGAGTGCAGTGGCATGATCTCGGCTCACTGCAACTGGGATCAAGTGATTCTCCTGCATCAGCCTCCCAAGTAGCTGGGACTACAGATGCACACCACCACGCTGGCTAATCTTTTGTATTTTTACTAGAGACTGGGTTTCACCATGTTGGCCAGGCTGGTCTCAATCTCCTGACCTTAAGCGATCCACCCACCTCGGCCTCCCAAAGTGCTGGGATTACAGGTGTGAACCACTGCACCAGGCCTAGAAATGCCATTCTTAATGAGCTAGTTGCTTAGTCTTTCCAGAAGAAAATGTGCCCAGCAGGTTTCCCGTATTCCACATTTTCCTTTAAATTATTTACCTACATTTTTCTATACTAGATCTGTAGGGTGGCTTTCATATCATTCCCAGAAGGCCACTCAATTTCTTTTGAAAATAACAAAAAAGTTAATTGGTAAAGAAAATGTACAACATTTAAAAATCATATAGATAAAATGAGAGAAGAGTGGGTGGGTGGTGCTCTGAAAGGCCATTAACATCAGCATGTGTCACTGGGGACATTTAATTATGATGATGATTATTAACCAACTAATTGTAATATATGAATTAAACAGACTGCTTTAGTTTAATTCATATATGAGGCCTTAATTATGATGATGATTAACCAACTAATTGCAATATATGAATTAAACAGACTGCTTTAGTTTAATTCATATATGAGGCCTTAATTATGATGATGATGATTAACCAACAAATTGTGATATATGAATTAAACAGACTGCCTTCCCCTAGACTTTGAGGAGAATGAAGCCAAAACCCATCAAGGACACTTAGACTTTGCTCAAATTTTTCTAGAAAACTTAATACTAGTTAGGCACCATGCTAGGTACAAGGAGGGACGGGGAAGGGATGGAGTGAGAGCAAGACAGTAAAATCATAAAACATGGTCCCTGCCTTTAAGAAGCCATCATTTTATGAGGGAGATGGACCTAGGTTTATAACCATAATGACATCTGGTAGAGATTCATACAAAATAATAAGAGTACTTCCTTAATGGTGCATTTGCTCTATGCCACTCAGGAATCTAAGCCTTTTTTCTTTTTTCAAAAATTGAGACAAGATCTTGTTATGTTGCCCAGGCTGGTCTCAAACTCCTAGACTCAAGAGATCCTCCCACCTCAGCCTCACAAAGTACTGTGATTATAGGGCTAAACCACTACGCCCAGCCAGGAACCTAAGCCGTTTACAGTATTAACTCTTTTAATCCTCAAAAAAGTCGTTATGAGGTGGGTACTACTACACAGAATTTATAGCAAAAGGGCCAGGCACAGTGGCTCACACCTGTAATCCCAGCACTTCTGGAGACCAAGGTGGGCAGATCAACTGAGGTCAGGAATTTGAGATCAGTCTGGCTAACATGGCGAAACCCCATCTCTACTAAAAATACACAATTAGCCAGGTATGGTAGTGCTTGCCTGTAATCCCAGCTACTTGGGAGGCTGAGACAGAAGAATCGCTAGAACCTGGGTGGCAGAGGTTGTAGTCAACAAAGATTGTGCCAATGCACTCCAGTCTTGGTGACAGAGAAAGACTCCATCTCAAAAAAAAAAAAAAAATTATGGCAATAAACTCTGCCCAGGGGCATTCAAGCAGCTTAAGGGCATTGAAGTATGAACAGGAGTCGGCGAGTGGTGAAGGTGGGATAGTGCATTCCCGACAGCAGGAACAGCAGGTGCAATGGAGAGGGCAGGTGGGACGGATGTGAAAACTGAAGAAAGATTCCATGTTGGAGGGGCCAGAGTGAAGGACTGGTTGGAGGCAGCAGAGCCTTGGAGGACAGTGGCAGCAAGATAGGTTGGGTCCAGATTGTGAAGAACATGGGGATTAAAGATTTTAGAGAGGGAAGACTGGGGCTTTGAGCAGATTTGGATTTTAGAACATGAGTTCTGGAAGTAGCTGGCCTGGGGAGAATGTGGAGACAGAAAGATCCATGGCAATGCTCTTGCAACATTGCAGGGAAACAGCAAGGCTATCAGAACGTCCTCCAGGCTTTCCATAAGGAGCATTAGAGGAAGAGATATTTCAAGATTATGAAACTATGCTTAAACTGCATCTTGCTAAGGTTTACAGAATATTCAGAGGGGCCTCTACGATTGTTTATGTAACATCCACAAGTGGGGAAAGAGCTTAGGCAAGCCATTCCAAGGATCTTGTTCAAGGCATAGGTATGGAGGGAAGGGGGGAACAGAAAGGCTTGGCAAGGATTGGGTGTGATGACGGGATAGGATGGTGACTAGGGGTGAGGATGCGAGAGCTGGGAGAGATTGTGATCAAGGATGACACTTCCATTTGGAACTTTGGTAAGAGGGGGACAGACTGTAGCACCATTTAAGGGGGAGGAGGAGTCAAGGATGGAGAGTAAGACCTAGGACATTTGTCAATGGTCAACCTCTTGGTCATGACTGACCTGAGTGACCCTTAGTCATCAACATACCATACTAGAGGTAGTATTAGCTTAGCAGTTAATGGCGGGGTCATCAGAGCCACATTACCTGGGTTTGAATCCCAGATCTGCTACTTGCTAGCTATGCAACTTTGGGAAAGCGATTTACTGTCTCTGCTTCTGTTGTCTCAATTGCAAATAGAGATGATAATAGCACCTACATGGTAAAGTGGTTGTGAGTTTAAAATAGTAAATGTAAACTTTTTAGATAGTGTCTTGACTAGAGCGAGTGCTCCACAAAGCTAGTCATTGTTTTTGCTTTGTTTTGTTTTTATTTTTTAAAAAAGCTCTAAGGCACGTTCACAGAAACAGGTCAGGGCTCAGGTTTCCCTGACCTGTGTTATTCAAAAGAATAACTGGGCTGGTCTCATACATGTACATGAGGCCACCTTAAGCTCTGCAGCGAGCAGTGGTCCAGGTACAACATGAAAACTGGCAGTGTTATCGTCAACAGGGCAAAACGAAGAAATGGAGGGAGGGAGAAGTGAAGGAGGAGGGAGTGAGGGAAAGAAGGAAGGAAGGGAGGATGGCAGGGAGGAAATCAGGAAGGAGAGAGAAACAGCCTTCTTTGCTGTGCAGCCCCACCTTTGTCTGGGCTAGAACAGAAGTCTCTATCCCAGAATTTTTCACCAAGACCCACCTTTAGACCCTGATATATCAAGTCTAAGGAACAATATGCTCATATATTTTTTTTTTGAGACAGGGTTTTGCTCTTGTTGTCTAGGTTGGAGTGCAATGGTATGATCTTGGCTCATTGCAACCTCTACCTCCTGGGTTCAAGTGATTCTCCTGCCTCAGCCTCCCAAGTAGCTGGGATTACAGGCATGTGCCACCACGCCTGGCTAATTTTGTATTTTTAGTAGAGATGGGAGTTTCTCCACGTTGGTCAGGCTGGTCTCAAACTCCCAACTTCAGGTGATCTGCCTGACTTGGCCTTCCAAAGTGCTGGGATTACAGGCATAAGCCACCACGCCCAGCCTCATCATTATTTTTTTTAAATTTTAGAAATAGAGAAAGTTAGAAAAAATGTATCACCCATGTACTTATCAGTTAGCTAAAGAAATAACATGTCACAAATACAGCTGCAGCCCCTTACACTCTCTCCCTTCTAGAGATAACCACTGGTCCAATTTGATTCGGTCATCCTCATGCTTTGTTTAGATTGACCTCTTGGATATTCCTAAACAATCGATACTGTTTTACACATGGCCTCTGTGTTCTTAAAAATTCCCCAGAGGTTGTGAGGTACAGCCAGGGCTGAAGAACCAGTTTCATGGGTTCCCGAGGAAGGTGGGAGACACAGGTCTCATCTGGAAGGTTTGAGGGAGGACAGCGGAAGGAAGGAAACTTGATGACATTTTTTGGTGTAAGCAGGCTCAGAAATGGCTCTTGGGATTCTGTTTCCAGCCTTTTCCACTAGTTCTTTCATACTTTTAGGGGCCCACAAAAATATATTCATTTCTTTTAAAGTCAGAAAAAAGTACAGTCTGGATGATATTCATCTTTTTACCGGTGCGGTCATAAAATATAAATTTTTAATTTTTTTTTTGAGGCATAATTTCATGCTTGTTGCCTGGGCTGGCGTGCAATGGTGTGATCCATCTCACTGCAACCTCTGCCTCCCGGGTTTAAGCAATTCTCCTGCTTCAGCCTCCCAAGTAGCTGGGATTACAGGTGTGTACCACCACATCCAGCTAATTTTGTATTTTAGTAGAGATGGGTTTCATCATGTTGGTCAGGCTGTTCTTGAACTCCTGACCTCAGGTGATCTGCCTACCTTGGCCTCCCAAAGTGCTGGGATTATAAGCATGAGCAACTGTGCCTGGCCTTAACTTTTTTTAATAAAGGAAGGGCCTATACCAGTAAAAGTACTAGAAGCCCACAAAGAGGTGAATGCAGTCCTGGGGAAGGAAAGGCCGAAGAACTGTACGTTCCCCACTTGTGCCTTCATGAAGTCACAGAACCAACTCCAGCAGCCTCCTGTGTCCTTCTCTTATTTGAGACATTAAAGGCCTGTTTGTTTAAGCCTCTGTTATCTGCTTGTCTGTTACTTGAAGCTAAATGCATGCCCCCTGAGAGAGCCTTCCTGTCTGGCTGAGCGTCCTTTTCTGTCTTCCAAGATTCCTGGCTTTTCAGTTAGGCAGAAGCTCCCAGGAACCAGAAACAGCGCCCTAAGGCTTGCATTTGTTCAGGGCTCACCTCGAGCAGAGAATTCTGGAGCTTCACACTGAGGGCTGCTTTCTCTTCTTCTAGCTGCTTTATCTCCTCTTCTGATTTCTTTCTCACTTCCTCCAACTGTGCTTCTACTTCCTAAATGACGATTGGAAGAGTTAACCACACAAGGCACAAAAACAGGACGCTTAACATTTTCACACCCTGCCTCATTCCCAGAGGAGATCGAAGAAGCTTATGAGAATCATACAATACTGCAAATAAACATAAATTAGAAATACATGAGAAGGTCAAAAGAAAACATGTGTTAATTTCACACCACACAGCCTGATATATATAGGAGTGGGGTGGGGCATACCATTATCTTGAAGTTTTCTAGTGTCAAATAAAAATAAATGCTCCTTACTGACAGAATTCTCAGTGTCACATCAAAAAACCAACTACATTTTCAGATGCAGGGAAACAGGAAAAGCAGTACAAAATTTCTTCTTCTCAACAGTATCTATACATGAGTCAAAATCTTTGGGTTGGCTGGGTACAGTGGCTCATACCTGTAATCCCAGCACTTTGGGAGGCCGAGGTGGGTGGATTGCTTGAGCCCAGGAGTTTGAGACCAGCCAGGGAAACATAGTAAGATAATGTCTCTATTTTAAAAATAAATAAATAAAATAAATAAGTGATGGGGTTCCCAAGGCTGATTGCTCCATGGTCCCTCACCATAGCCCATGAGCCTCAATGCCAAGCAGATCCAGGTGAAGGAACATTCTGGGGACCACGAGAAGGTGCAGTCACGTTCCAGCTGTGTCATCTGGAGCACATTTCCTAACCTCTCATGACTCACTATGGTACTTGCATGCTCTGTGCCACTCACGGTATACAGTAAAGGATCGGTAGATGATCAGCATTACTATTATCCTCATACAGACCTAGGCTTTCCATTTTAGCTTAATTTCTATGAAAACTGTGCAAGTATCTAGAGGAGTGAATGAGATAGTCTGTTCCTCTTAGCTGAACTTTAGGAAGATATTGTGTCACTCATCCATTCAACAAATATTTCTTAAGATCTACTATGTGCTAGGCACTGATCTCAGAGCTGGGGAGATAAAAGGGAGAATTTTTATTTCAGGAGCTTACACCAGGAGCTGACATTTGAGTGAAAGAGACGGGCAGCAATCAAAGTCCGAGAGTGAACAAAACAGCAAACACTAGGTTGGATGGAGAAATAATAAAGCAGGGAGGTGACTTCCCAGTGTTGGGGAGGGGTTGAATGTTAGATAACTAAGTGCTCCAGAATGCGACTTTGGAGTAAAACCCTGTAATAAGTGAGGGAGTTAACCAAGGAGATATCTGGGTGTGAGGTTTCCCAGGCCTGCAAAGGCCCTGGCATATTCTAAGGACAGAGAGGAGCCACTATGGCTGGACTAGATGAGGTTTGGGGAGCACCATCTGAGGCCTCAAACATCAAGGTAAGACTTACCAGTGAGGTGAAGACCACTTAATGGTCAGTCAGAGGAGTGACGTGGTTCCAATTATATTTTGATAAGCTTGCTACTGCTTTTTGTTTGTTTCTTTGTTTGTTTTTGAGACAGGGTCTCACTCTGTCACCCAAACTGGAGTACAATAGCACAGTCATGCCTCACTACAGCCTTGACTACCCAGGCTCAAGCAATCCTCCTGCCTCAGCCTCCCAAGTACCTGGGGCTACAGGTGCATGCCACCATGCCCAGATAATTTTTACATTTCTTTTTTTTTTTTTTTTTTTGTGGAGACGGAGTCTTACTATGTTGCCCAGACTGGTCTCGAACTCCTAAACTCCAGCAATTCTCCCACTTCCACCTCTCAAAGTGCTGGGATTACATGCATAAGCCACCATGCCCAGGTTCACTACTGGTTTCTCTCTTGACTACAGACTGACATGGGTGGAGGGGAGGGTGAGAGCAGTGGCGGACAGGCCTGGGAGGAGGCTGTGGTGATAACTGAAATAAGAGGATAGTGTCTGGGCCTGTGGCTGTAGTGCGGCCAAGAGGAGGGGTAGAAACTGGGATATATGTGGAATGTTGACTGACAGAACTCACGGAAAGGAGGGGTCAGATAACTAAACATGTCAAATTATCCTGCTTACCTTTCTTTTGGATGCTCCAGGGCCCTCTCTAGCACCCAAAAGTTAGGGATTGGAAAAGACAACCTTGAAACTGAAGTTTCATTTGGGGAAGCCTGTGAAATATGTTAAAGATTTAAAACACTTGATGTTATGAAACAGAATTCCAAATTACCATAAGTCATTTATTTTAGCCAAAACAATGACTCAAAAACTGGACTTTCTGACCTAAGCAAGGAGAGAATGGTGCCACCATGACCTGAGGTGGGGAAGACAGAAGGAGTGGATTCAGGGACTGTCTGGGGAGCTTGTCTGCACATGTTAAGTTTGATAAGATAGAGGGTCTGGAATTCAGGGGAGGGTCCTGGGTTGGAGTATGCATTTGGGAGCCATCAGCATACAGAGTTTATTGAGGCATGCATTTGAATGAGAAAAGCTAGAGAGAGAACATGAAGAAAGTATAAGGCATTAAAGTACTAAGCCCTTGGACACTCCAAAATTTCCTGTGAATCAGAGGTTACAATATCCAGCAGGTATTTGTAGAGCAGCTCTCCTAGGCTGTCGGTTGACAATGGACCTGTAGGTCTAATGGACATAATACTGGTAGCTGACATTTGCTGAATATATGCTATTTGCTGGCACTTTGCACAGCCCATCTCTCTGGTCTTTGTGAAAGCCCTATGACTTAGGTACTACCACTAAGGCTTATTGTAAAGAAAGAAATGAAACTTAAAGAGGTTAAATGCCTTGCCCAGGCTCAACATTTGAACTCAGGAAAGCCTGACTGCTTGACTGTGCTTCTTCCCTCCCTTCTTAAGGAAAATGTAACACCTAGTACAGAAAAATGCTTGACTCTGTGAGTACAGAGGTTGTCATTTTCAAACAACAGCATCGCTAGGCTGACCAGAGAAAATTTGTAGAAAAACCCATATTTAAGCTGGACTGGAAGCATCAGGAAGAACTGGACAGGATCAGATAGGTAAATTTGGGAGCAGGGAAAAAGTGCTCTTCATCAAGGGAAAGAACATGGAATAAATGATGAATTAAAAGGTTGGAACCATTGAGTGTGTAATCCCAACAGTTTGAGAGTGTTATGCCTGTAATCCCAATACTTTGGGAGACTGAGGCAGGAGAATTTTTTGAGGGCAGGAGTTTGAGACTAGCCTTGACAACACAGCAAGATACTATCTCTACAATTTTTTTCTTTTTTTGAGACGGAGTTTCGCTATTGTTACCCAGACTAGAGTGCAATGGCACGATCTCGGCTCACAGCAACCTCCGGCTTCTGGATTCAAGCAATTCTCCTGCCTCAGCCTCCCGAGTAGCTGGGATTACAGGCATGTACCACCATGCCCAGCTAATTTTTGTATTTTTAGTAGAGATGGGGTTTAACCTCGTTGACCAGGATGGTCTCGATCTCTTGACTTCGTGATCCACCCCCCTCGGCCTCCCAAAGTGCTAGGATTATAGGCAGAAGCCATCGTGCCTGGCCTACAAAATTTTTTTTTAAGATTAGCTGGGCTTGGTGGCATGTGCCTGTAGTCTTAGCTACTCAGTGGGCTGAGGCAGGAGCATCACTTGAGCCCAAGAGTTCGAGGCTGCAGTAAGCCATGGTGGCACCACTGTATTCCAGCCTGGATGTCAAAGCAAAACCCTGTCTCTAAACAAATGAATGAATGAATGAATGAATGGCAGAGATGGATAGGGGAGGGGTTGTGGGATGAGGCAGGAGGGAACAATCAGGAGTCTGCCTCTGTAGGGTCTTAAAAACCATGTTACAGAATTTGAACTATTTAATACATTATAAAGATGACAGGGAGTCATTGGAGAGTTTGAAACCAAGGTTGAATTTTTAGAAAGTCCTGCTGCAATGACGATTAGATTACATGAAGTGGGGAGACTGGAGGCAGGGAAACCATCACACGGTTCCTCATGAAATGGTGGTTGACTGGATCAGCATGGTACCACTGAGGATAGAGGGAAGTGGAGGAATTCCACAGTCACTGAAGAAGCAGAATGAATAGATGTGATGGCTGATTGAATGTGAGGGGTGAGAAAGGCATCATGTTTGACTCCTGGTTTTCTGAGTTGAACATCTAAAAAGATACTGCTGCTGATCACCTGCATGATACTTTTATACTTCCTGTGGGGCCAGGCCCAGCTTAGGCCGGTGACTCTGGGGAGCCCCTTAGCATTTTTCCCGGGGTCAGGTGATTTAAGAGAAGAAAAAACCCTGGACATTTAGCATGTGTATATTCTTTGTTCAGTAAATCTATGATCCCCTTTTGTAGGGCTTATTGTTTTTGAGAGTTCATTTTCTAAACAAAATATGTAAATTCTCCTTTGGTTTCAAACAAGTTCAGATAACTTAAGCAACCATCAGCAGCAAGGCCATCCCTTCAACAAAAGTTCATTTTCTTTACTTCATTAATTAGCTTCTCATCCATAGAAGCTTTTATTGAACAGAAGCTTTGTTTAACATGGTTTAATAGTGAAGACACTCACTAACACTGCCAAGATGTGTTCACTGTAACAGCACAGTGACAATCCCCTGTGATAATAATTTTTAGCATAAAGGAATGGCTATTTCTAATTTTATATAGCTTAACTTCCCAGACTACAAGTAATTAATCATAGCTTCAGCTGTAACCTTGACAAATGAACCTAATGTGAAAAAAAATTCCCCCACAGGTGGAAATAATCGATTTCAGCAGGAATTTTTGGCATTAGTTAGCTTCATTTTGGGTGCAAAATAATGTGGTTTACTGTCAGAAAACAGTTCTGGGTGGGAACACAGATTTGAAAGAAGCATACTCTGTCCAGCTCAGCCCAAAGTGACCTTGAAGATTTCAACAGACAGCTTAAATATTCCCTTAACTCAGGTAAAGAGAAAAAAAGATAGCAAAGACAAGAACATTGAGAAAAAAGGGGACTAATGCTCTCAGATACCTAAGCCGCTTCATCCCAAATCTGGAAGAGTGTTTCATGGACCATTAATATATAGAATTCATAGAGCATTTTCATAAACTCTATTCTTGCT